AGAGTGGACCCCATCTTTACTAAAAAAAATTAGAAAAAACTTGCTGGGCATGGTCACATGTGCCTGTAGTCCCAGCTACTTGGGAGGATGAGAAAAGAGGATCCCTTGAGCCCAAGAATTTTAGAGGTTGCTGTGAGCTATGATGCCATGTGACTGAGTAAGGCTCTGTCTCAAAAAAAAAAAAAAAAAAAAAAAAAAGGATGGGCAATACCACGTTTTGGCAAGAACACGGAACAACTGAAACTTTCATAGAAAACATTTTTTATCTATCCAAGAGAAACATGTCCAACCAAGGAGGCATGTGCAAGAATATTTCATTACAGAATAGAAACAACCAAATTGTTAGGAAAACAATGAAAAAGTTAAGTGTGGCACATCTCAAGTATTGAATATAAATGCTTAAAAAGAATGAAGTAGACCTTTGTGTTACTAACATGGAAAGATATTTAAAAAATCATGTTGTGGAATGAGAAAAGAAAACTCTATAATGGCCCATGGTATGTTAACCATTTAAAAATTCCACAGAACAAAGTCATGTCATTTACGTGTGTGTGGTCATCCTCCATCTGTTCTGTCCCACTCATGTATGGCATGTTTACCCAAAAATGACCTTGTGAGTTCAAAGGGCACAACCTCAGCTGGTAACAGGAGTTACCTCCAGAGAGGGTTATATGATTGGGTTGTGGGCAGAAAGGATTTGACCTTAATCTGCATTTGAATTTCTTTGCATATGAATAAATCAGTGTACTAGCAATATGTATAATTATAAGTTACAAAGAATAAACCACATTTTAAATGTCACACAGTGGTAAAAATGAAACAGTTCTGAGATGTCTAAGCAAAGGAAATAACCTCTTCCCGTGCTCGTCCTTGTTCCCTGCTGACTTCCACATCAATTGAACAGACACTTTCTGATTTCTAACAGGGCCGCCGCAGTGTTCATTTGTCCACCTTCTCCTGGGTAATTACTTTCCAGGGCACCAGGCCCACGGTTGGTCTGACTCAGCCATGGTGGCACCATTGCTCTCACCAGTGATTGGCTTAGGCCTGGCCTGTGTGTGCTCACGGGGGATTTGGCCAGCCAAGTAAGATGTGGGGGAGCTGTACCATGGGAGGCTTCTGCTCTAATAAAAAGAGACACAGGAACCAGCAGTCTCCTGTGGTTGTGCCTGGGTTTGATGTGGAACTGCTGGAGCCCTGTCAAGGCTCTGAAGGAACTAGCCCCAAGGTAAACCAGTGTGCTGGCAGAATAAACAGATGGAGTGCATTTGTGTCCTCGAGGGTACTGGGAACCACTGGATTCAGCCATTCTAGGCCCATGCTACCTCTAGACTTGTTTTGAGATTTGAGTCAATTATTTATCATTGGTAGGAATAAACTCCTTGACACTTGCATGCAATTCAGAAGTGAAGTAAAAAGAGGGCTGTACCATTTACAGATCTAATAGCTGTTATTTAATCATTTTGCCACTGGTAGACCTTCAGGATATAGTAATAATTTTGCTATTATAAAAATTCTCCAGAAAATATCTTTTATATATTTTGGTACACATTTCTGGAAATGAAATTATTGGATCAAACAATATATATTTAAAATTGATAACCTACTATTCTGTTGCTCTCAAAAAAATCATACCAATTTTTACTCCCAGCACCAATGGGGGCCAGTCCCCATTTCCCCCCACATATACACTAATGCTGTCTGTAGTTAGTATTCACATTTGTTTGTGGGTAGGTGAAAACTAGTTGTCTGGTTTATTTCTGTTTGTTTGTTTGTTTGTTTTGAGACAGAGTCTTACTCTGTTGCCCTGCATAGATTGTTGTGGCATCATAGCTCACAACAACTTCAAACTCTTGGGCTCAGGCGATCGTCTTGCCTCAGCCCCCCAAGTAACTGGGAAAACAGGCATGTGCCATGATGCCCAGCTAGTTTTTCTATTTTTTGGTAGAGACTGTTTCTCCTTTGCTTAGGCTTGTCTTGAACTCTTGAGCTAAAGTTATCCACCTACCTCAGCCTCCTAGAGTGCTAGGATTAGCAGGCATAAGCCACTGTTCTGGGCCTAGTTTTCTTTGATTACAAACTTAGGATCTCATATTTATTTGGTTATTTTTTTTTGTGTGTGTGTGTATATATATATATATATCTCCTTGTGGATTTCTTGTACTTTTTTTTTTTTTTTTGCAGTTTTTGGCCAGAGCTGGGTTTGAACCTGCCACCTCTGGCATATGGGGTCGGCGCTCTACTCCTTTGAGCCACAGGCACTGCCCTCAATTTCCTGTACTTTTTATCCATTTTTTTCCCTTGTTGAGTTTATTGCACTCTTTATATATTATTGACTTTTTTTTTCTTTTGAAACAGCCTCAAGCTGTCATCCTGAATAGAGTACTGTGGCGTCATAGCTCACAGCAACCTCAAACTCTTGGCCTTAAGCAATTCTCTTGCCTCAGCCTCCCAAGTAGCTGGGATTATAGGTGCATGCTACAACACCAGCTTTTTTTTTTTTT